GAGGAAGAGGCGAAAGGCGAAGAGGCGGACGAGAGAACAAAGTTACTATTTATAAGAATTATATGTAAAGATAAAAAATATATACATGCAATTTAAGATAAATGAAGGAATAGGTGTAATTTTTAATAACTCCTTCATAAGTAATCATTGAGATTCGCTATATAATAATGGAGGGAAGCCACAATATTACCTTCTCCTCTAATTTGAAGAAATTGTAATTCACCGGCTATTAAATAAATACAGCAAGGCATATACCACGAACGCTGGTTGTAAGTAGCTTAAAAATTCTGTATTTAGAAATATACAATAATTAAACGTTTCGGTCTTAATTAGACCTTCAATAATATAATCATTCACATAAATAAAGTTTAAATATTACTTATTTTTTATTACATATTTTTTAGAATATACAATTATATAAATTTGAATTTAACTCTCACTAATTATTAAGTCTAGTATTAACAATTTTTCGAGTAAATTATTATTAGGACGAATTAGATTTGAGAACTACAAAAGACCAACGAACTCTTGACGTTACCTAAATTTTTTTCGAATCATTATGTTGAACACAAAAGAGGTGTTATAACTGGAGGTGTTATAACTGGAGGTGGTCAACTGGATAGAGTTATTCTTTTGTCATATCCTGAATCTCATAAAATGAACATAGAAATCCATTGGATTTAATTTTCAGCACAATTAATATAATATATTTAAAGTTCAGAAATATATTATCCGTTACTGAATATACCGTCCTCTACGGAAACTTTAGAGAGGACGAAATAGAGTGAGCTAGATAAACGACCAATATACACTTCCAACAGGCGACCGTTTCCCATTGAGAAGCTATTAAAATTAAAATGGACAATTCACCTCCGATGACCCTGACCCTCCCACAAATTAACATTGTTAAGATTACGAACCTGAGTGACCATCGGACATTTTCAGCAAACAAGAGTAAGAAACGACGAAAGGGAGTGAGTGAAGACGAAATAGAGTGAGATAGAGCGAAAAAGAGAGGAACAGTGGGGGTGGGTGACGGGAGAGGAAGAGGATACTCCAAAAATTAAAATGACCCTTACTCATATTGTTAAAGTCACGATTCTAAATGACTATCGGACACTTTCAACAGGCGACCGTTGGCCATTGAGTACCTATTAGAATTAAAATAGACAATTCACCTCCGATGACCCTTACCCACCCACATATTAATATTGTCAAGATTACGACCCTGAGTGACCATCGGACACTTTCAGCAGGCGAGGGTGAGAGATGACCAAAGGGAGTGAGAGAGGACGAAAGAAAGTGAGATAGGGCGAAAATGGGGGGGTTGGTGGGGGTGAGTGATGGGGAAAGGAAGGGGGAGGGGGAAGGAGTGGAGTGGGTCAAAGTTGGTGAAGGTGTGAGAGAGAATAAAGGTGCATGTGTCTGCGGACAGAGAAGAATAAGAATAATAAGGAGACGTTACTTCATTTTTCATGAAAATCATCACTTTTTGACCGCTCCTATGTCCAGAATGGCTTGACCGATTTTATTTTTTTTTTGCTCAGATTACTCGTGGCGATGCCGCCTTCAGGATATGTAACGTCCGATTCCAAATTTTTTATATTTTGGTAATTCTGTACCCCCAAAAAATGGACTTTAGTGGCTTAGTATAAGAGACTTGTAGTGTCTTTATGTCCTTTCACTTTTTTTTTGAACATGGCCGGAGACACTACCGCGTCTCCTGATGCCATCCACTCTCACCACTCTCACTCCCAACTCCACCTCCACCCCCACCTCCACTCCATCTCCACCCTTATTCCCATACACATACGCCCGCGCGCGCATTTTTAATGTGTACTTAGATTTTTCTAGATTTTTACGAATTCTCTCACGCGAATCATTTGAAATGTGTGAGTCTATTTACCTTTCATGTGCGAAGTACTTGATTATCACGACCCAAATGTTTATTTCGCCATGCGAAACTCCATGTACAAAAAAATATCGGGTGCTCTCTAAGGTGCGATAGCAACATGGGATAGAAAATTCTGTTCCTCTTCGCTTTGTTTATATTCATATGCGGCAAGGGGACTGAGGAAAATCAAGTAACCCTAAGGAATGAAACGCCTGTCACGTCTACGTCGTTCATTCCGAATAATTCTGAGAACAGACGAAAAACTAAAATCATAAATGTACTATTGATGCATACACAAACACACATACGATCGATTTTTATGCACCTTTTTCATATAAAAATGAGCGCGCGGGCGTATGTGTGTGGAAATGGGGATAGGGGTGGAGTGGGAGTGGAGTGGAGATGAGATTGGGAGTGAAGGTAGTGAGAGTGGTTGGCATATTGTTATTTAAAATCTCTTGATTTATTATAGAAACCTGATTTTTAGGCATTAGTATATAAAATAAAACTTTAAATAGCTACAACACAAAAACTAGTCATTTTCAGAATTTGTGCCTATAGACACTTTTGATCAGTGAGTCAAGAACTATAACATACTAAAATTTCAGCCAATTTCACCGAGGACCAAAATCCTATGATTTTGTGCGGGGTCCTTTCATGTACATGTATTATACGCAAATATACTTTTCAGTTACAGATACATAAAATTTAATGTAGTCATAAAATTTAATTTAATTTTTGTAACTTAAAAGTACTGTTACGTCCTGCCCTCCGCGAGAATATAATTTTGTTTTTTTTTGCGCATATTTTTGTTGTTTTATCTTTTCATTTTGCGCTGATTATTATTTTTGTATCTTACTTCGTCTATCTAAAATATTTCTATTGTTAAAATTACAAGTATTCCTAGTGGGAATCTTAATCGGCAACGTGCGATTCCATCGCGCCGACACCACGTGACACGCGTGCCTCGTGAGCCATTCGGAGCGCCCATGAGGCGCGTACCGCGTGCCGATGCGTTGCGACGAAATGCTAGGCAGGATAACTTCGCATGGAGTCAAGAAATCATTTTCGTACGCTATGACCGTCATGTCATTACCTTCCTACACGGATTTAGAGAAAATTAGCTTAATCTAAACGCCTCAACGCCTATAATCCTCCAAAATAAGAATAAGTTAACGCGCACGAATCACGGTCCGCGATGCGCGTGTCGCTCGTCGTTCCGAATTCGCAATGGGATTTCGGCCGCTCTGATCGAAAATATTGTTAATTTTGGAGTCTCGCATTGCGCTAATACATTTTTCTAATTAATTTGCTGTCTTTTAGTCCTTGTGACCGCCTTAATCAGTTCGAAACGGATGAGTAATGCGAATTAGTTGCGTTAGCGAGCGCCGACCAATCGAGGGTCGGGAAGGGAGCAGCGCGGTTCACGGAGAGAGCAGCGCGGACCACGGAGAACTACCCGAAACTTAATTTATTAATAACTTTAAAATTCTACTAATGAACACGGAAACAACTCGATTTCTCAGTTTTAAATTAAGTTCGCGTAAACCATGCCGAGTTTTAGTCCGGTATGAATAATATTTCGGGAAGAAAAGTCCATTTTTCGCATTTGTCACGTACGCCCAATTCTGGAAAATTGCACTCCCTCTTCCTCCCGACTCGCGAGCGCTACCGACTGGCGTCCTATATAAACAGGGCGAAAACCAAGCCCGGCGTTATTGTTATTCAGTCTCTTGCTGATTGAGGAAGTCAATACTGGATCTCGCTATTTGTTGGAATATCTTTAATAAAATTGCAGAACAGAAGCACGCATGACTTAACTCAATGGGTTCCCTTTTCTTATATCCCTCGAGCTGACTGCGTTTATAGAAGCTGCTCAGCCTTCCCCTTTCTCCTAGGCTGCGCTTGTAGGAGCTGCTTAGCCTACCCTTCCCTCTCAGGCTAACTGCGCTTATAGGAGCTGCTTAGCCTATCCTTCCCTCTCGGGCCGACTGCGCTTGTAGGAGCTGCTCAGTTCACCCCCCTCCTTCGGACTAACTGCGCTTGTAGGAGCAACTTAGTTCGTCCTTTTTCTCGGAATTAACTGCGCTTGTGTAAGAGCTGCTCAATTTTTTCTTTCATTATTACTCATTTCTCTCACAAATATCTTTCTTTCATTACAATAAGGTCAATTAACCGCGTCGGGAACATAATAAAATTATCTTTTCGATAGAACGATCAACTGCGTTAACATCAATGTAACCAGCGTATCAGCTAACTTCGTATTAAATAAAAATTCAACTTTTAATATAGTGGATATTCTGTTCTCCTCAATCCTCCTCCGTACCCCATCCTTCAAAGGTATGAAGTGATGAAACGGCTCGAATTGCTCGGGTCAATTATTGATTTCTTTGGTAGATGAACGTTAACTAATTTGACATTTGTTTCAATTACAATTAATCGCTAAAGCGTTAAGGCCAATTCAACAAGCAATTTATTAATTTGTTCAATCAAACAATTTATCATATCACACTCACATAAAGAACAATTCTGAATTCTATTTTGAGATAACATTAACGAACAACTTTAAAATTCTAGAGCAATTATAAGAAATAAAGATTCGTAAAGGATTCTTGTAGCATGCGATACGACGGCGCTAGCGGTCTCATGATTTGCCGCTTGATCTGAGACGCGCTTGTATTCTGATCGTACCACCCCTCCCTTAAACACTCCGCCACTCTTCCAATCCAGTATCCTGTCTGTCCGCCGCGCTGGACCGTCTTTTGCTCCCACTTCACATCCAGCAGCGACGCGGCCTCAAAATATAACGCAGGGATACTTAATTCGCGATTGCTTTCTAATAATTGATAACATAATTAGTGACAACGGATTGATAATACGGAAACCGCTGCATCTCAACGCAACAATTTACAAACGCGGAGATATTTATATCGTTACCTCCGTCAGGTCGTAACAGCACATTAAATTTTATGTCTTTTTTTAACAGTGTATCTCTTGAACGAAGCGTTTCCGAGCATACGTCCAAAGGAAAATTTTTGTTTGTTCTGAATTCATATTATATGTTTGGCGGTTTAACCGGGAAACACTCTGTATAATAAAAATATACCTCAATCATTTTTTCCAAATACTTTGTTTTTTCTTCGACATTTAATTTTTGATTCTCAATCTCTTCGAAAGTCAACATTAAATCATTGATTTGCTTCTTGCAATCGTCCACCTTTATTTGTTTATTCTCAATCCCGATTGTTTTACGCCTTGCATTAGCTCGGATTTGTTGTACGCGACGTGCCAAATCTGCCACTAACTTCTTCTGGGTGTGAAGCTATCTCAATAATTATTGAAATGTATAATCATTCAGTAAAATTATAAAAAATAAAATAGTTAATAGCTGTTGCATTTAAATTGGCATGCAATAATTAATAAAATTAGATTTATAATTTTATGGAAAATAAAAGTCTTTCTTTTGTAGTTTTCACCTCAATAGCGTAGATGTCAATTGTTTTCACGATTTTGCGTTGTTTTTCTTGGACTGCAGTAAGTTTCTTCTCCGAGTATTTAATCAACTGCTCTATTTCTTTGTTATTTACAATTTGATCCTTTAAAAATTGTTCTACTTCTTCGAGATTTTTCTTTTTCTCCCTACTGATCTCTCGCAACGTTTCGATTTCCTACAACGATATGTATCATATATAGATGCAAAATTGGAAAAAAAATTGTTTATACCCTTAGACCATTCTGTATATTGTTGTCTCTCTGGCGCAGAATGTTGACACTTTGCATCCATTGGTTTATCATCTGTTTGCGTTCTTTTAACGCTTCCATGTACAGTTTTGCTGTACGATTTAGAACGATCTCCATCTCTCGTACTTCACCGACAGTTTTGATAATAGTTCGACGATAAATTTCGAATTCCATGCTGAGCTTTCGTCGTTTTTGTTCTAATTCCTAAGAATTAAATTGTATTTTAAACAATAAGAAAATCGATCGATGAGATTAAATACGCGCAAGTGAAAAAAGCCATATTCGGTCAAGGCGATTCTTCATATCTAATTATATTTCTTTTGTGAATTTATACAATTTCCTGTTCAAGCTAACTGTGCGCTAATTCCCAAACGAGATAACCCTGGTAGAAATATATACACTGCTCCTAGATACCTATCCAGTTACTATCTAACTTTACTGTATTCTCATTAATTGTGCCAACACTGAGTAGGAAATGGACAAGAACTTGATAGAGTTTTATTCTGTTTCATAAGCAGTTGGCTTGCTTATTAATCAATTTGATATCCATTATATGTTGTGTTTCTATTCAGTAAATGGTTTCAGATTTTACGCAATTTTTGTATGCAGTAACTACAAAGTTCTATCCTGACTGGGATCCTAAGTAGTTTTCTTCAGTTACTAGACAAAAGTTGGTATAATTGTTTAGTAAGTATAAAGTTCAAATGTCGTAATCGACTTGTGTAAGTGAATTCGTCAAGGTTTAATGCCAATCAAGTCTAAACACAGGTAATTGTTGTGTATAAGTTTTTATTGTAAAATTCTATACGTTTCGATCCCAGTTTTGGATCCTTATCAATGGTTCGTATCAATATAATATCTCATCGTTTTTCCTGAAACACTAACGTAGATGTCTTGGTCATTCAAATTCTATTATTCAAAATTGAAACGTTGTAAAGTGTATAAATTAACGTATGTGTTATGTGATTTTGACTAGAGAGCAGTCGTGAAAGTTTAAGCGCGTCATTATTGTATGTATGTTGTTATTCAATTATTCTATTCTTAATTGATATCTATTATGATTATGGTGTTGTACTCCATAATCTCTTTTATATTGTTTAGTAAGTGCTCAAAAAATGCATGAAATTTCTGCCAAGGAATATTTTTCGCAATTAAATTATTAATAAATTTGGTATTAAAATCTTTCTAAAATACCTAAGAGCATAAAAATTGTTGAATTACTTGTGATATTATAGTCTGACTTTGGTTTAAAGCTACATTTAAAAAGAGCATCAAAATTATTAAATTACTTGTGATATTATAGTATGGCTTTGGTTTAGGGCTACATTTAAAAATTGACAAATAATCTGTGCATAGTAGTTTGAAATAGAAATTGTATAAATTTACAAAAGAAACATGAACAGACACAGAGAACCGCCTTGACCAAATATGGCTTTTTTTACTTACGTTTGTATTTTAAAATTATATATCATACATATAGTAGGTAAAACAACAAAAAACTTCAAAACCAGGACGAATGAGAGTCAGCGTGATAATTAATACGCAATCTTAATTCTTCAATCCAAAAATAGATTCTTTATTCCAAAAATAGTACGTTTCAGTTCACTTTGGAACCATCTTCAGCAAAACAAATTTAAAATATCAATTCCTTCATGTCAAAGAAAAAATCACCATCAGATTAGCAGATTTGATGTTATAATCTATTCGAAACATTAAAATTTTCTTATAAGTATTTCTATTGAACAAGTTTCAAATTAACAATAAAATTGGTGACTCACCCCAAGAGACATAGAAGGAATTCGTCTCAACATTGGATTAACTAATTACAATTAATATTCACTAAAAAGTATCAAGTTAAAAAACGCATGTTGATCGCAGCTCGAACGGAACATGACTAAAACACTTGATATAATCGGAAAGAAATGTCAGGTCATATCACGAAAATAAAAAGAGTTACGAAAATAAAAAGAATCACGAAAATAAAAAGAATCACGAAAATAAAAAGAATCACGAAAATAAAAAAAATCACGAAAATAAAAAGAAAATGATATTAGGTATTAAACTTAATTCCTGCCGTTTTTCGTCTCCAAAATTGATTTGTTTCGAAGGGAAATACCTTAATCAAAGTATTATTAATAATGTATTATTAATTAGTAATAAAGTAGAAAATGGAGGAAATTACTTTGATTAAGGTATTCATTCATCTTCCCTTCGAAACAAATCAATTTTGGAGACGAAAAACGGCAGGAATTAAGTTTAACACCTAATAATTTCGATACATAAACAAAAATTTTTGTACAACTGAAAATATGTAACTATTTGATGTCTTTTAGTAACTGTATGTAATATGATGTACACCTTCTGTATCTGAGCGTAAATTCAGACTATTTTGTTGCATTAATGTAGTAGGTAAAACTTTCCAATTTTCACAGAGAAATCTGGCCTTTTACTTATAGTCCAGTCGTCAGAGATCTGACATCTAAAATGATCCGACCTGGCTGAAATTTTGTGTGAATGTACATTAGTAGTCCCCAAAAAAGATGCAAAAAAGTTTACCACTCCTACCCCCGGGCTTCCCCCTAAAACCCCCCCTCGTAGGGGGGAAAAAAGGGGAAAAACGGAAAACATCGATTTCCCAAGAATCTGTACGCCGTAGAAAAAAATGTTTCAAACAAGAAATGTAGCTGAGATAATTTTGAACAAAAATGTTTCTTAGCACTTTTTGTGTAGAATGAACCGTTCTCTCAGAAACAACGCTTGAAGCGACCGGTGATTTTGAATGTCAGTTACGCGCGCGAAATCAATTTTTTAAATAAAATTTCTATCAACTCGACGGTAATAATTCGATATCTTTTGATCAGAGTGTCCTATCGACAAAAATCAAAATGCATTTTAAAGGTGAAGAGTGCAGCTTTCGTATGCAATTTTTGCATTTTGCCGCAAATGAAGTCAGTTTCTATAAAGCTGTTAAATAAATAAACGTTGCGCGATTTTTGCCATTTTTTACGATTCTCATGAGATCAATAAAATTTATCACTTCCATTGACCGGTCGCTGTGAAATTTCCATTGTTAGAGCCTAAACTTCAAAACCTATAACATGAAATTTCGATTTTGAGTTTTGGCAAAAAATATGAGGCATTTGAAATATGCCTAAAAAACGCTGAATTTAAACTTTCACATTACAAACGATCTCACGTCACGGGAAATGCTTCCACGAAGACGGCATTGGGTGGAATTTGTAGCTGAAGATGTGTAGTTTTTAAACACGTACTTGTGGAATCGAAAAGAAGCAGTTTTAAACGTTTTATTTGAAGTATAAGGCCAAATATCACGATTTCCTCATTTTTCACAAAAACATAACTTTCGATTCCGACCATATTTCGGGACGTTCGAAACGGGAAATTGAAGCTGAATGTTTCTACTATTGATTGCATATAGTCGCTTCATGCAGGCGAGTTTTGGAATTTCAAGGGAGACCTTCGAAAACAGGTAACAATGCGCTCCGCTCGAGTACTACCGGCGGGTTACAATTCTCGCAGCGGCGGCGCGCGCAGCTGCCTACATGCATACGCTTGGCTGCACGGCAGTATTGTGTACATGTCTCGGCCCTGCGTCGGTGTGTGTGCTCTAGCTGTAGAGTCGTGCCGGTCGTGCGGAGTTAACGGATTTTTCAGTGCTTCAACGTATTAATAAGTGTGTGAAAAAATTAGTGAATTCGGTAAGTATTTATGATATTTATGCAATGACATGATATTTATTTCATAGGTGTTTTTTTTATCATTAAAATAATCTGACATTTACTTAAAAAAATGTAATATTTCATATAACTCCGAAAGCACGTGTCGCTTGAGGTTATATTCATGACACGTTTATCGTAATATTTTTTACATGTATACATGAACAAAAAAGTTCCTTACCACTTTCTTTGTAGAGTGAACCATTCTCTCAGAAAAAACGATTCAAGTAACGAGTTATTTTGAGTGTCAGTTGCGCGCGAGAAATGAAATATTTGAACAAATTTTTATCAAGTACGCGGTAAATATTCAATAACTTTTGTTCCCAGTGACCTACAGGGACAAATAAAAACGCATTTTAAAGGGGAAGAGTTCAGCT